TTCTTCTGTCTTTTGAGTTATATCTTTTGCCCAATTAAGTGAGTTGGGGGCATTATTTCTTTAGTACTTTTTCAGTCTCACCTTCCTTTACTCTCTTTTGGCACCCTGATGATATGATTGCTAGATCTTTTGGTTTTGTCCCACAAGTTTCTGAGACTGATTTTTTTTTTACATCTATTTTCTATTTGTTGAGACTGAACAATTTATATCATTTCATCCTCAAGTTCACTGGCTCTTCATTCTGTCTTCATTCTGCTATTTAGCTTTGTCTTAGTTAGTTTTCTTGCTGCTTAGATAAAATGCCAAATACCTCAAAATAAAGGGAAAGTCTTATTTATTTGGCCTACACTTTAGAGAAGTTTCAGTTCATAATTAGCTGGCTCCAGGGCAGGGTGACACGTCAGAGGGACATTGCAGAGGACAAACAGTACATGGCAGGCAGAAGGCAGCAAGTGACAATAGCAGCTTCTTTGTTCCTTTATATACCATCTAGGCTACCTGCCCTACAATGGATAGTGCTCACACTATGTCAAACTAAGCAGTGGACTGATTTAGTAATCATATAACCTTGATTCCAGCATCACACATTTTGGATATAGCCACCTCTGGGAAAGCCCCACCCATGACTGCTTGAGGCTTTCCGGGGACATCTAGACATAAAGCATAACAAGTTTATTCATAGTTTTAAATTTTCTTTATCATCTTTTTTCAGCAGTAAATTTTGCATTTGATACTTCGTTATCTCCCATTTCTTTTTTTTTTGGTACTGGGGATCGAACTTGGGTCCTTGTGCTTGCAAGGCAGGCCACCAAACCACTGAGCTAAATTGCCAGCCCTATCTCCCATTTCTTTATTGATCAGTTATTTATTTCAAGTGTATTCATAACTTTTCATTCAAACATTTTTGTGATAATTCCTTTTAAATATTTGTTAGTGAATTCTAACATCTATGGCAACTGGCTTTGAGTACATACTTTTCATTTTTGTTCTGATTGAGATTTACCTATTTCTTGGTATGACAGTAATTTTAAAATTTAAACCTGGAGAATTTATGTTATTTTGCTCTGAGATGCTAGGTCTTATTTAAACTTGTCTGCGTGGATTTTAACATTTCTTTGGCAGTGGAAGGACAGATGTCATCTTATTACTGGTGAGTGAGAATGAAAGTCTTGTATCTCAGCTGGACTCAGTGATACTAGAGACAGGGAGAGACACTTTGTATTGCTGGATAGACAGGGTGAGATTTATGGCTGCCCAATATGCCTCTACTTTAACCACCCTTACCAGGAGAAATAGGAAGGCCTCATTACAGCTCCTCTAATGACCCAATTCTCTCACCAGATGTTGAAGTACATTTAAATGAAAGTGGAAAATATAACTTCTTTTTTTAGGAGCATAAAGTTAAATTTTCTCCTACCACCTCTGCCACAAATTGTGTTTTTCCTGTACAAATGGAAGAGAGCCAATTTGTTTAATTATAAAGTACCTGCAAATCTTTAAGGAGGAGATACATTAATTGTATAAAGATCTTTGTAAATAAATGAAGTTGCTTTATTATTATCTGTACTAATAATAACCTCATATATTTATAATAACCTACATTATAGTTTTCTTTCTGTGCAACATAATCAATGCCTCAAATAGTATGAGATTTTGCTTGAAACCCATACAGTCTCTGAATTTGAGAAATGGAAATAATCTGGGAATTATCTATTATAACATCTAAATGTAAAAGTATCTCACAAAGTATCCTAATTTGTTTTTCAAAGATACAATCCTATGAAGTTTCACTTTTGATCAAAAGTTACTTCTTTGTAACTTTATTATGCAGTATTCCCACTACTGTTGTTTGTAACTACTATAGCAAATAGCTAATTTCTTTCCAAAACAAGACATTTAAAATTTCCAGTTAATCAAATTTACTCCTCAGTTTGTATCACTAAGAACCAAGCTTGTGTGCTATGATTTTCAAATATGTTATGATTGCAGTCACCATTTCCTTATTGTAACTCAGATTTGTCAGTATCTTCAAAATTCATATAAAATTGAACAAATGGAAATGTGATCTATTTCCATGGATGCTAAAGTGAATATATAGTACTAACCAATTATGTTTAATTTTTAATCTGTGATTATTGAGTACCTGCTGATTTATACTGAATTTAAGGCCAAGTAAATAGCCTTCTGTTGGAATTTTTTGGGTCATCCTTGTAAAGGTTCTTGTCATCTGTGAATGAGGATAGTTTGAGTTTGTCCTTTGCTATATATATCCTTTTTATATCTTTCTTTTCCTGTTTGCTTTGGCTAAAGTTTTGAGTATTATACTGAACAGAGTGCTTTTAATATAAATCAATACACCTTCATAATGTCTATAGTTACATCTTCCATTAGTATGCTTTTTGAGAGAAAAGCAATGTGTGTGTAGTAATATAGGACACTTTTTATAAGGAGTTTTTAGTGGAGATTGAAGAAATGAGTACATGAAAGAATAGTTTCTTATGGAAGAATGATAGTCAATGTATAAGTACATGTTTTTGAGACAGGGTCTTGCTTCGTAGTTCAGGCTAGCTATGAACTCACTATGTAGTCCAAGGCTAGCTTTGAACTCATGGTAATCCTCTGGCCTCATCCTCCCAAGTGCTGGTATTACAGGCATGCAGTCAATTTGTATATTGAAATGATGTTTTTTCAAGACTCACATTAACAGAAAAAAATTTGGCTTTAGCTAGTGTGATAAAATAACATAAAGAGAGATATAACTATTAGATTAAAAATTAATTTGTATAAGTGTATCATTTCTATACTTATTAGTAAATATATACAGTACAAGTATAGTCATGTTTGCTTCCTTACCTATGTCAATCCTTCTAAGTTAAAATACATCTCTCTTTTTTATGGGGTTTAGATAAAGTCTGGAAATCTTAACTAGTTGTTACAAGCACTATACATTGGTTAATGTTGAATAAAAGATGAAACCTTTTTGTTATCAAGCCTCTAATTTCTTAATGAGGATCAGCAAAAAAGTAGTTATTAGTTCAATGACTATTTCCAATTTCTGTTGTACTCTCTTCTTTGTATGTTTCATTGTTCTTTTATTATAAAGTCTATTTAAATTGGAATTTTACCTCTTGCTTTATATTCCATCATTGAAACATGGCAGTTCTCAGTCTTTTCTTGCTAACCCCTGTCATGAATATGTACTACTGAAATTTCCTCTTTGCCTATTTGACCCTATATATTTGTATCTTTGTAGAATTAGTGTTCACTCTCCCTGTGATTCAGAAAGAATTATCTTAAATCTTTAAAATGAATTTTCTCTTCCTACTGAAAATTGAGTTGAAAATCCTTCATTGCCTAGAAACATGATTATCAAGTTATTTCCTGTGTAACATTATTAAATATTCCTTGGTGACAGCAATTCTAGACTTTAGGTTTTAATCACAGTTTTTCAGCACCATATACATTGCACATTAATTAGATTGTTAACTAATTTCTCATGAAATAGCATTGTTTTTATTTTTATTTTTTGGATGTGGTAGCGGGATGCTTTCAGTAGGATGGTTTGAGAGATAAAATTTTGTTTAGAGAGCTGGGCTATTGAAAAAATTCGACTGAGCAAATGAATTAGAATTGCTGGATGTTCACTTTTTAAAGTGTTACAAGTTAGAATCTTGTTGGAAATTTATCATTCATGGTTTCCTTTTCTTTTTCTTATTCATATTGGTCTGTCTACCTAGAACATTATTTTGTTTTGGTCTTGGAAAAATGTAATCGTTTCTTTTCTAGGTAAACTTGAAAAATTTGCATAACTAGTACAAAGTTCTAGTAAATCTGTGAATTTATCCTCATTCTCTTTTTAAGTGTGGCTAAAGGGCACAATGAGGCCAAACTGGAGAGGCTGATATGAATAGAAGACTATGGTAAATTCCCAAATCTCATATAAGAGTGCAAGGCAGTTGTCACTAACAAGTCCCAAACTGGTGAGAAAGCCCATTTTGAAGATGCAAGCAGAAGAATAAAACTAAAGGAACAAAAACAAGGATCTCTGACTTTGTTTTCTTTCTTATTAGTGCATTAATTATTACATTAATTCTGAAGAAATAATCTGTCATCTCATATACATAATGAATTCTACCACTTAACTGTTAACGTCATATGCTTGTGTATCATACACTTGTATCTGAATCCTATATGAACAAGCAACAAACCTTAATGGAAATGTGCAACCAAACAAAAAGATTTTAATCCTAGTTTTTAGTTGTTGGTCCTAGACAAGTAAAAAATGAAAGTTCAGCCTCAATTTCCTCTTTGTAAATATACATGCATAACTATGCTATTTTGAGAATTTGAAACAATATTGCTGGTCTTACATAAGTGAGTAGATTGTTGGTTACTTGGAGTCCAGGGACAGAAAGAGTGAACTTGTAGGGATGGAGAAAGGCTGATTAATGGGTACTAAGTTACAGTTAGATAAGAGCAGAAGCTCTGGGCCACTGTTACACAATATAGTAACTATAAATAACAATGTATTGTACAATTTAAGAAATTAGAAGAAAGAATTTTGAAATGAAGTGATGTGTTTGAGAAGATAAATATTGCAACCTGATTTAAACATTATGCAATGTATACATGTATTGAGCATTATTTGATACATCATCAATATGTACAACTTCCATTTATTTTGTGTTATGCATGTTTCTGGGTTTGAATCTAGGGTCTAGGCAAGTGCTCTACCCCTGAACTATATCCTCAGTTGAACATTTATGCTTTTGTCTATTAGTTAAAATTTTTTAAAAAATCAGAACAAATGTAAATTCATGTTTATATAGACACTGATAGTGATTTTTATCAGTTATTTATCTAATACACTCATTGATAACTAAATGCTATTTGAGCATATAGTAATTTTATCTGTATATAGCTGTTATAATGAGTGTAAAAATATAATTCTGAGCAGAAATAAAACTTAGATATTTTAATTGTAATTTTCTTTCTTTCAGAATTACTTACTGTCATCTACCTTTCCAGAGTAAATGGCTCTATGTTGGAACAGAGAGAGGGAATACACATATTGTAAATATTGAATCTTTCATTCTTTCCGGATATGTTATCATGTGGAATAAAGCAATTGAACTGTAAGTTTGAACTTGAATATGACTTTTTGGGCTTAAATATTTTGTATAATTATGTAACATATATAGTACATTAAATTACAGGGATAGATGGGATGTGTATAGTTAAGTTGTGTGAAGCATGGATGTTATTCTAGATTCCATAGACTATTATTTTAGTAATTGTCCACATTATTTTTTTGAATAAACAATTTAATTGCAAAGTATCTGACACTCGGTATTATTTTGAACAATTTATTCCTGTTTCACAACATTTATATACAAAATGTATATTTTGTTCCTTATTTACACTTTCACCAGAGAGGCATTGTGATATTTACACATGTGTCCTATTTCACTTAAGAGAATAGTCTCAAGGTGCATCCATTTAGGTCTCCAGTTTATCCTTCTATATGGCTGAGTAGTACTCTGTTATATAAATAAAACCTATTTTTTGTATCCATTCTTTGGTTCATGGGAATTTGGGTTGTTTCCAAGATTTAGCTATTACAAACTGTGCTGCTGTAACTGTGGGTGTGCATATCACTGTGCTATGACACTTTTAATTCTTTTGGGAAAATACCCAGCAGGGTAGCTGGGTCAAATAGGGCTTCTAATCCTAGTTTTTTGAGGAATCTCTACACTGATTTCCACAGTGGTTGCACCAGTCTGCACTCCCACCAATGGGTAGAGAAGGGTTCCTTTTTTCCTAGAGCCCCACCTGCATTTGTTGTTGGTTGCTTTCTTGATAATAGCCATTCTTTCTCAAGTGAGATGTAATCTCAGTGTTTTAATTTGCATCACTCAAATGACCAGTGATGAACAGTTTTTCATATATTTATTTGTTTCTACTTCTTCATCTGAGAAGTGCATATTAATAAGTAGAAATCTTGACATAGAGACAGACAACAAGTTCAAGAACAAAACCCCTATTTCATGGGAAGTAGTGCAAAGAATCAAAAAGTGGGATCTCATCCTATTTAAAAGCTTTTACACAGCTAAAGGAAAATCACCGGCATGCTGAAGAGACAACCAACCCACAGAGTAGGAAAAAGTTTTATCCAGTAGCCCCTCAGTTAAAGGACTCATATCTAGAATATACAAAGAATTAAAAAATATCAGATTCCCCCAAATAAAGACCCAACCCAAAAATATACAGCAGAGATTAATATGCATTTCTCCAATGAAGTAGAAACAACAAATAAACAATAAATAAACAAATAAAAGAACAAACAAATAAATGAAAAACTGTTCAGTATCACTGGTCATCTGAGAGATGCAGTGGCTATTATCAAAAAATCAGTTAACAAATGCAGGGGAGACTGTGCAGAAAAAGAAACCCTTCTTCACTGTTGGTGGGAGTGCAGATTGGTGCAACCATTATGGAAATCAATATGGAGATTTCTCAGAAAACTAGGATTAGAGGTCACATTTGACCCAGCTATTCCCTTAATGTGTATCATCTCAAAAGAATTAAAAGCATCATTCCACAATGACATATGTGCACCCATGGTCATAGCGATATAGTTTGCAATCTTGGAAACAACCCAAATGTCAATCAACCAAAGAATGGATAGAAAAGATTTTTTAAAATACATTGTTGTACTACTCAACCACAAAGAAAAATGTAAGACATCTATAGCTAAATGGATGTGACTTAAGACTGTTCTCTTAAGTGAAATAAATTTGGCACATGCATAAATATCGCATTGTTATCTCTCATGTGAGAAACTGAAAGTGTAAATAAGGACCCAAATTTATAATAAGTAATATGAAAGAGTGTTCAAAATGAAAGGGAAACTGTGAAGGGGAGAGGGGAGAAACAGGAAAGGAAAAGGAAAAAAATAGAAACAAAACTTTTATAAATAAGGAAGGGGTTTGTGGGGAGGGTGGGGATTGGGAGAAACAAGAATCAAGATATACCATGTACAGGTACAAATTCCTTTTGATGAATGTAATTGTTATGTATATTTAAATTGTAGCAATAAAATTAATTTTTAAAAATCTGGGAAAATAATCAGGGTGCGTAACATAAGGGTCTTATATTAAAAAGAATATTTTGAAGTCTGGAATGGGGAAAGGAAAAATTGGCCTTGAAATAATTGTTATATTGTTTTGAGGTAGAGTTAAACTGATTTATTAAAAAATAAAAGATTAAGAGGCACAAATAATAGAAAAATCAAGGACCTCTTGATGGACTGTATATAATAGTACTCTAGTGAAAGACAAAGATTTAATAAGTTTGGAATATTCAATTTTGGGTGTGTTGAGTTGTAAATGTTAATTATATTCAAATAGTAATTAAAAATTAGATGGGTCTGGGGAATTGGCTCAGTGGTTCCACTGCCTGCCTTGGAAGCACAGGTCCCGAGTTTGATCCCCGGTACCAAAAAAAAAAAAAAAAAAAAAAAAAAAGGAAAAAAAAAAAAAAAAAATGGTTTCCTATGTGTTTTAGGAAATTGTATCTTTCAAAGAATTGGTTCATTTATCAAAGATAACAAATCTGTGGGCAAAGTTATGCGCAATATCACCCTTTTAACCTTTAAATGTCCATGAGCCATGTCTGTTATGATGCTTCATTTCTGATTTTAGTAATTTGTGTGCTTTGTGTTCTCTCTGTCTTAATCTGGGCAGAGGCTTCTCAACTTCATTTATGTTTTTAAAAGATCCACTTTTAACCCCCGAAAAAAAAAAAAAAAAAAAAAAAAAAAAAAGTGAATACTAGAAATAAAAATTTGGATTCCTAGTTTTCAGTGAAAGAATTCATGATGAAATTATCCTACTCTAGCATTCTTGAATGGCAGAAATCAAATGGAGCTGAGTAGCAGCTTTGGTTCTGTAGGTGGCTAATGTGCTATCAAGTGTGTCACAGTTCTTATTCAGCCTTCTTTCTTCCTCTCTCATTGAGTTTATTGGTACATTTTAGGTAATAAGGGAAAAGAAATAAATATTCAGCCTTTTTAACTCATAGCAATACCTGTCTGATTCCTGTGGATTTTTAAATTCATGACCACATATTACGTGGGGGTAGGTGGTAGTCTAGGGCAGAATACCAATCACTCTCAATATTTAAGATAGGAAAATATTGAAAGATTGACAAATAGATTTCAAGTTCAAATATTTTATATATTTTTGGCCAGAATATTTCATGGTTTTCAAACCATTATGATGAATTGGAGGAGAGAAATGAATTGGGATAACCAGAAGAATTACTGAGCATTGTGTAGGTGCTGTGATCAGAATTTAAGTTCACTGTTTATTCTATCTAAAATAATTTTAGAAAATTTTATAATCCAGAGTAATATTTTTCTATATTCTGAAAAGTTTATTACAAATAACAGAAATTTCATCTGATAAACAAAAATAATCTTACTTTATTTTTTTGAACTAGTGAGTTTTATAGTCTAAGGATCTAAAAGGATAAGTTTTGCACTTAGTTTCATTTCCTAAATTATATTTCAATGATTCTCTTAAATTTAAAAAAAAAATTCCAGTAAACTAACAAGTTTGGAAAATACTGACTTGTTACTTTTTGCATAGGATCGATTCTACAAAGTTTTGTGGGAAAATATATTTAATTAATTCAGTTTCCCAAACTTTAAGAATGTGAAAAGTGTTATATCTCCACTAGTTTAAAATGGAGTAAAAGCAATTCAATCAGACCTCAAGTTTCTTTGGTTTATTGATTATTATTAATTACTAAAGTGTAGCTTAAAGACATCATCCGTTATTGGAAATATTTACATCTTTATGGAAACAAAATTTATGTAGCTGTAGTATATACAAGTCAATTTCAAATTTTCAGAGGTTCATATATTTAACAAGTAATGATGAATCGAACTTTACGTAGAACTTAGTTCTTAACACTGATTTTTTTAAAATTGCAGTTTCTTTAGAGCAATAGAGAAAAGGAAGATAGTTCACAAAGAATACAAAAAATGTACATGAATTTGAGCTTAACTCCTTAATTTCTTTACTTCAGTCTGTAACAGCGAGGTAATTTAATGTTTACTTTTCAATTACTGCTTTGAATTGATTTAACAGGTCCACCAAGACTCATCCAGGTCCAGTAGTACATTTAAGTGATAGTCCAAGAGATGAAGGGAAAGTGAGTATCTTAATATCATTATCTTTGCTTTTATTTTACTCATTCTTGAAAAAAGGAAATTCTCCTCTACCCCTCTGCCTCCTTCTTTTCATTATTATTATTATTATTATTATTATTCATTATTATGTACTAACCATCTGGCTCTGTTCAAAGCATTCAGTGTCATGTGAAACTTAAAATTTGTATGAGTGAGAAAATGAGTGAAGGGATGAATTGCTCTTGCTTATAATAGTCCCTCATTAAATCCTCAATATCAACTGGTGCTAAATTTGATGTTTAATTTGAATCTAGATGAAGCTAACATGTAGAACAATCTTTATTATCCAGCATTTCATGCTTGAACTCATAATGTGATGTCCGTATCATTAATCATTTGTCTTTGTTGTGTGGTTTTGATAGTGATAAATGGTTAATATTAAATAACACAAATTAGCCAATCTTGATATTATAAATATAACATATACAAAACGTTAACAGAGTACAGAAATAATCTTTATTCATTTTAATTATTTCATAATTGGTCTTTGGTGGAGAGGAAACAAAACTGATAACATGAAGAGAGCTAAAGAATCACTACCATAGATGTGTGATGTACACATACTAACTCCCCATGATGAATGTAATCATTATGTGCTGCAAAACATGTACTGATAAAAATAAAAACCTTACTATTATAAATAATGTCTCTTCAAGTATATAATTTTTGCTAAGTACTGTAGATAACATTAATAAATTATCAGGGGTTTGGTTCTTTATTGTTTAAAGATAGAAAGTGAGTGAGTCAACAAGAATTAAATATGAAAGGCAAGTCAACATTGATCCATAAATGGAATGTAATTTGAATAAAGTACCATCCAAATGTATTTAAGAATTCAGAAGCCAATTTTGAAATTGACTAGAGAAAAAACGTTAAGAATAGCCATGACATTCTTGAAAAAGAAATGCTGTGTGATATTGTGTCAAGGTTTTCAATAATACTGGTGGATCTAAATAAATATTCTTGAAATGGTTCAGATATTTGGAGAAATTTGGTATATTTTAGAAAAGATATTTGAGCACATTATTAATTTATTGAATAAATGGTAGTGAACAATTAGCTACCTGTTTTTGAAAAAAATAGCAACATCTCTACCTTATACCTTTCCTAGAAATGAATTCCAGTGTAGAAAATACATAAACATTAAAATCACAACTCAGGAAGTATTTGAAGAAACTTACGTAATTTGTTTCTGTGCAGTAAGGACACAGGGAGAACATAAAACCTAACCTGAAGGACATATAAAGCATAGCAAAATGACCATAATAACAGACAGCATTTGCTACAAATAACAGATAAGTAATGAATATTAAGAATGCATAAAAGCTTTTTCTAATAAGAAATTAATGGATGACATCTAATCATGGAAAAGCAATATAAATGTATTTAGAAATGTGAACATGAATACTAGAGAAAGCAATTTTAAGAATTGAAGATGTCGTCTTTTACCTCAAGAGAGCAGTGTCTGGGAGTGAGGAAGGAATAGTTTCACAGCTAATTACCAATATACCAATATTGGTATATTTCAGTATACCAATTTTCCTTATCATATGGCATAATAAAAATTTTAAAAACTAGCAGTGCTGGTTAATGAAAGAGATATGTTACATGGGTATGTAGATATAGGTGTATATATTGGTATGGGAAATTTAACATTATTTACATTAAAAACATATCTTTAAAAATTCACTTTGACTTAGAAACTCAATTTTAGCTATACTACTTAGGTGACAATTGGGCAAGATTTTTAAGATGGTCTAAATGTTTATTTAATAGAAAATTGAAGACATGAATGCTGATACATGTATACTGGAAAGTTCTTTCAGATATACAGTATTTTTTAAAGCAATAAGGTATAAAACAACTGGAACGATGTATTTATATTTGTGTTTATACATTCACATCCCCTTTGTAAAAAGCCTGAAATAATATATGCCAATCTGGGAAGGATAGTTTAGATTAGAATTGGGAAAAATAGTGAAAGTTATTCTCATTTTCCTTGTGCTGCTCAGATTTTTATGAATGAATATAATATGTGGAAATTGTATAATAATCAAAGGAATGCAAAATAAATGGATATTGGCTTCAGAAACCTATGTAAATTGTGGCTCTACTACTTATTAGTGTATAACCTGGAACAAATCCCTTTACTTGTGGTATACCATTTTTTCCTAGTCTTACATATCTTTGCTAGTTTATTTCTGTATGCTTTATAGGTGTATTGTCCTTTTTACTTAATTTTCTTAAAGCCAGGTTGATAATAATTGATTATTGTTAGTGAGTAAACAGTATTAATTTTTTGTTTTGTTTCGTTTTATACTGGGGATCGAACTTGGGACCTTGCACTTGTGAGGCAGGTGATGCATTACTGAGCTAAATCCCTGGCCCAATAATACTGATTTTTAAAATTTACCTGCATCATTAAATGTTTTATGTTTTATAGCTATCCTTAGATTTTTCTGGCATAGTTATGTATTAAAGCATAACAAATGTAGACAAATTTTATTTTTTCACTTTTAATATTTATAGTTCTATATGTGCAATATATTTTATTGTTTTGTTGGCTATGAATCTGTGACATTGAATATAATGGTCTTTCTGGGAACTTATCTTTGTTTTCAGTCTGAAAGGAAATGCTTCCAAAATATTTTAGCATTAAGGATGATATTTGCTACAGGTCTTTGGGTGACTATTTTTTTGAAATTAAAAATTTCCACCTATTTACAGAATTGTACAAATTTTAAATTATGAATGGTTTTGAATTTTATTAAATGTTCTTTATGTATATAATCAAGATGATTATTCTTTGATTTGTTAGTTTGTTGAAATATGTTACTATATTTTTCTACTTATAAACAATTTTGTATTTCTGGGATTATTTAGTTTTGAAGGTGAAAACTTTCCTTGGAGGTTTGCTGGTAAAGTGAAAAAATAATCAAAGTACTGCAGCTAAGGTTCCTACAAAAGCAGAATAGTATCATAAAATCAGAAGATAGAACATCTTTCCCTCAAGATATCATTTACAGAGAAAATGCACATTAGTCTAGCAAACAGAAAGGAGTGCTCTTGAACTATACCTGTATTGGATATAGTAATGAGTTCATCCTGTCAGATTTTCAGCTTTGCTTGTCTCCCTAACCCTTGGCTGCTGTTTCACCTGAGCTTTGCAGAGTTAATTTCATACAGTATTGCTTCCGAAAATGACTGGCTATGCCTAGAGTCTCTGGCTCCTCTTATTTATTCCAGATTCTGAAGATGTGCCGTAACATAGGACCTTCAATCTGGCTTCTCTAGAAAGATACAAGAAAATATTTCCCTTTTTGTAAGTGGTGTGAGTTCCTATTCTGAGCTAGTTTGTTTTTGTTTGTTTGTTTTGTTTTTGCTTGTTTGTTGTTTTAACATAAACTGTTAAACATGCTATAATTTTCATATTAATGGAACAACTAAGTGACTAGATATATCTCTTCTGCTTTTCCATATAAAGAAGTGATTAGTGGGATCAATGAATTATCTTACTTTTGCTTCTTTGTTTTTTTTTTTCACTTTTCCTTTACTGTTATAACCCCAAGATTGTACTTTTTGATGAAACATTAGTACTTACCTTGCGACAGGATTTTTTTTCTGTAGAACTGGATTTAAATAATAGGTATCATGGTTGTTCTAGATCAAGGAATAGACTACAGGCCATGAGCCAAATCCAACCTGCTGTTGGTTTTTTATAAATGTTTTATTAGGACACAGCCATGTTCATTCTTTTACATATTGTCTGGGGGTGCTTTCTATAAGAACAAAGCACATTTCTTTCTATAAGAGCATTTGTGACAGAGACTGTATGGCCTGCAAAGACTAAAATATTTACTATAGGTCCCTCTGTGAAATGTTTGATGACTCCTACTCTAGATTGTAGATTCAGCATGGGATTTTTGGAATTGTCTCCTTTCTAAAATCAATGAATCTGTTAAAGGTGCCATATTTGGAGATATTAAACCCTGCCATATAGTCATATCCTAACTACTTGGACATTCTCTTATGTTTAATTGGGATAACAGGCTGCTGGAAAGATAAGACAATGAAAGATCAGGCACTTTTGGTGCTTAATTTATGTGGGGCAATGATAAGTATAATGATGATGGTAAAAATAGCATCATTTGGTGGCATTTACATTTTTCTATTATGACATAATGATTACAAATTAAGTAGCTGAAAACTACTGAAAATTTTTTTACAATTTTGTAGGGTGGAAGTCTAACACAGGTCTCACTGAACTAAAATTAAGGCATTGGCAATTTTGCTTTTCTTTAGGTGACTAGAAAAACAGTGATTTCTTGCCTTTTCTGTGTCTGCACACATTTGTGTGTTGTAGCTTCTTTTCTCTAGCTTGAAACCCAACAATGTATAATCTGCCTATGTCCATCATTACATCTTGTTCTGACCACATGTGGGAAATATTTTCCACTCTGAAAGATTCAGGTGATTGATTTTTATCCACTTAGGTAACCCAAGATAATTCCTTTACATCAACCTCCAATCCTTAAATATATTTGAAAAAATTTTTCCTCATATAAAGAAATTTGTGTGGTGTTGGCGATCAAACCCAGAGCTGTATTCATCATAAGCACACACTCTACAACTAAATTGTATCCACAGCCTATTTGGAATAGTATATTTGAAAATTTGGAGGATTACGGTGTTGGAAGTTCTTTATTCTGTTTAAGTCATACTAGAAGTTAATTATTGATTTACCTCATCCCAAAGTCCCCATTAGATAACTTTAAATAAACTCTTATTTCCTTTATCCCTGGGAGCAGTATCTGTTTATAAAGAGACGAAATACATAGCTTTTATAGGTACTGTTTGTTACACTCTGAGCCCTAATGAAGAGAGTCTGACCCTAACATCTGGTATATTTGTTATGGGATGCCATAACAAATTTCCACAATTTGGGTTACTTAAAACAACAATT